GCCCTCAGCGTGGCGGCACGGCAGCACCGGCAAACCCAACGGAAAGGCAAACGGCTGCGAAGATGCAGGGCGGCTGGGATGGCACCGGGAGGGCCCCACTGCGGCCCCGCGCCCCCCACCCTACACGGTGGTCTCGTACTCCAGCACCTCCTGGGGGATACCGGGGGTGCGGTACTGCAGGCGCGGGGTGGTGGGCGATGCATACTCCAGCGCCAGGATGGTCTTCCGCAGACGCCGGTCGATGAAGTGGGCGTCCCAGGCCGGGTACTTCTTCCTGGGCAGGTCAATGCGGATGACGGGCCTCTCTGTCCGTGGGGCGCGGGCGGCCGGCGCCGGCGGGGCGCAGGGTCTCACCTGGAAGACGGGCACGCAGCTGTCCCGCTCCCCCGGCGCCCCATCCCGCTCCCCCCCTGTAGTCCGCGGCAGTGAGCGGGGGGGGCTGGTCACGGCCTCCGTGGGGGACCCCGGCGCCGGGGCTGGCCGCTGCCGGAAAATGCAGCCCCCGCCACGGGGGCTGAAGATGGGGCCGTTGGGGTGCAAGAGGCAGTAGTAGATGAACATGAAGAAGATGCCGAGGGCGAAGCTGGAGCTGACCACGCAGACGAGGATTAAGGCGTCAAAGTCGGAGGTGATCTTGCGGTCGTAGTAGAGGAACCAGAGGACGGTGAGGGCAGCGTTCTCCGACAGCGTGATGATGTAGTAGATGCACATGCGGTAGCGGCTCCGTCCCTCCTTGACGTTGAACCAGCAGAAGATGTAGATGATGCCCACCACCATGTTGTAGATGATCTCCTCCCACTTGGACATGCAGAAGTCTGTCTCACCCTGGATGATCCAGAAGGTCATGATGCACCAGTGGGTGACGATGAAGATGCCGAAGTAGAGCTGGAACACAGAGGCGAAGAGGGCGAAGGCGATGGCGCGGGCGGCAATGGTGAAGAGGTGCCACAGGATCTGCACCACGGCCCCCTTGTAGGACATGGGCATCTTGTCCTCCCGCGAGTCCCGCAGCACCTTCTGGTAGGAGGCGATCATCCACGCCAGGGAGACCAGCGAGGCCGAGGCCGAGAGCCCTGTGGGGGCAAAGCAGGGAGGGGTGGTGAGACCCCGCGGCAGCCGGGCGTCCCCCTCCAGCCGCCCCCGTCCCCCGCCGCGGGGGCCGTGTCCCTTACCCTGCAGCGGCTCGATGCTGTTCTGCTGCACCATGATGCTGAGCTGCAGCACGAGCTGGGGCGCGCTCTTCAGGAAGGTCTCCAGCAGCCGCAGCATGCTGATGTCCGCGCTCTCGAACATCATCCGCCAGTAGAAGTGGCGGCGGCGATGCTCGGCCTGCCACCGGCTCTGCAGCCCCAGGTACAGCGTGCGGAGGTACCTGCACGAGGGAGGGCAGGAGGGTGAGAGGAGCCCCCGCCGCCCGGGCAGCCGAGCTCACCTCCCCTGCCCCTGCCAGGCGTGCCCCGTGCCCGCTGCCAACCTGCTCCAGTGAGCACTTCCCCCCTGATTTGGGGCCATGGGAAGCCCCCCATGCCGAGGGGGGCCCCGAGATGCCGGGAAGGGGCAGCTTGTGCAAAGCCGGCTCAGCACCCTGCTGCCCCGGGGCTCACCTGGCCATCACCCTGCCGCCCACCCAGCCACCACAGTGCCCACCCAGCTGTTGCCCCACTCCCCCGCCCCACGGTGCTGCCCCTGCGCCTTCTCCCCCCGCCCGGGGTCTGGCTCCCCTCCCCAGCCGGGGATCCCGCCCGCAGCCCCACTCTCCAGCCACCCGTGGATTTGGGGTGCCCTGGCCCCAGCCCAGCACCACGTCCGGCTCCTTCTCAAAGGGGCTATTTTGGTCCCGGCTGGCGCGGAGCCCACCCTGCCTCCCCCTGCCCCGGCCAGGACGGAGGCACCAGCTGGTCGTGCCGTGGTGCCCACGGGAAGCTCTCGGGTGCTCGTGCCGGCGCTGCCTTGGCTCTTGGCAGGGCTGTGAGTGCAGGCACGCGCCGGCCCTGGCCATCTGGTCGTCGGCCGGGGGTCAGCGGAGGTGTGCGTGGCACCGACGCACGCACCGGCTGAGTCACTGCCACCAGGGACCCCTCCCCGCAGCACGGGGCCAGATCCGGGCACCACAGGGCCGGACAGGCAGGGCATCCCCGGGCAGCCCTGCCTGCACCACGGGCCGGCGGCTCCGCTGCCTCAGGGAAGGAGGGAGCCGGATGAGAGAGGAAACAGAAAGATGAAGCGGGAGGATGTCAGGCCATAAAGCTTCCTCCCAGTCGAGTAAAACCGTCATGCAGAGCAACGGCCTCTCCATCAGCTCCAGAAAGCGCTGCCAGCCGACTCCATTAGCCCAGAGCGCGGGAGAAACCCTGATCCTCAGCGGGAGGAGGCAGGGGCCGGCCCTGCTCCCGCTGCAGGGACGGCCGGGTGCCCCCACCCCTGGACTGCACAGCCCCGAGACCACGGTGGGGGCCATCAGCTGGGGCCACCGAGGCCCCCGTGCCACCCCACTGCCATCTGCTCCCACCCCGGGCAGTCCCGCTGGCTCCCGTGGCGTGCAGGAGGGCAAGGTGGCCACACTAGTCCCACGGGGCTCCCGTGGTCCTCCCCAGCGAGGCTGACGAGGCCCTGGCAGCCCTGTCACCGCCTGCCCCATCCGCTCCCACTGCCCTGCCAGGGGCCCCACAAAGCCTCCCCGAGAGCTGGTGGCCGGGCAAGACGCTGCTGTCAGCAAATAATGCGATTTGAGTAGTTCTGCCCCAGTTTCAGTGGGTGCCGATGGCTGCAGGGGCCAGCCCACAGCCCCGCGGCCAGCCCAGCTCCCGGCTCCTTTGTGTTGGTGTCAAAATGATGCTTTAATGTCCATCTCGGGGGGAGCAGCTAATTTTAGTCTTTGCTGCAGCCCATCCCTTGCTGCTCGGGGGGAGAGGCTGCGGCCACCCGGCTCCTGGCTCCCGGCACAGATTTGCGCCCTGGTGCCACTTGCTCGTGGGCAGCCAGGCCAGCGCTGCCGTCACGGCACTGCCGTGGCCGCTGCCCCCAGCCCCTCTCCCCACCCACCAGCCGCTGCTCCCGGACCCACAGAAGGGCCCGGGGCCAGACCCCCCCTTGCTGGCAGGGTGCGAACCAGGGCACAGCCTGGGGACGGAGGGCACGGCGTAGGGGGAAAGCCACGGGAGAAGCGGTGCAGAGCCCGGGATGCCGCAGGGCATCGCTGCTGGTCCCAGGGCGCTCAGGCGCGGATGAGGCCCAGGCATCGGCGCCCTCACCCTCTCCCCGTAATCAGCCTCGTGAACTGGGCTCCTCAGCACCCTGATCCCGCCGCCTGCGGTGCACAGCAGCCCCCTGCACAGACCCCAGAGCCGCGCCGTCCCCGGCTCCTCAGCCGCTCAACAAGTGACCCGCAACCTCCCCCAGCTTTCGGCGGGGGCACAATTATCCTCCTGTCTTCCCGTCAGCTCCACAGATCTCATTAAAACGAGATTTCATCTCCCATCAACTTGCCAGAATGAAATGTTGATTCTTATTTGTTATGCATTTGATCATTCCGTGGTGTTTCAGCCCAGAGAAACATCCCTGAGCGCTGACAGCGCAGGGCGAGCGCTTACCAACCGAGCGCCGCAGCTGCTGCATGGGAAATACAGAATCAATCACTTGAAAAAAAATCATTTAATTTTCAAAAAACTGATGATGAGGCAGAAACCGACGGCGAGAGCTCTCAGGGCTAATTGCTCCCTCCTTTGTATTACAAAGAGTAATCCAGTAATCCAACGAAACCCCTGCAGCGGGAAGGTGGTGGGCTCGGGCGGGCACCGGGTTTGCCGGAGCCCCGCTACGGCCTGGTTTGCCGGAGCCCCACCATGGCCGGGTTTGCTGCTGGCGGCACCGGTTGCCCCCAGCTCCCAGCTCCTGACCCTGGTTTTCAAGTGTTGGAAGAAAAGAAGTGCAAGGAGAAAAGCCCAGCCCTGGTTATAACCGAACCCACTAATTGCCATTCTTACATGGAAGAAGATGAGGGACCCCCCGGTCTAATAGCGAGCGATACAGAGTATGATTTTCCTAGAAGGTAATTTGGGATATCATCCCTTAATCCTTTATTTAAACAAGGAGAAATTTGCTTCCCTGTTGCAGCCATTTTAATCCCTTGCACATCCCGCCAAGTCAGGTCACCAGGGAGAGCAGCACTTGCGCCCGGCTGGCACATCACCGCGCCGACGAAAGCCCCCACGTCCCGCTGTCCCCAGGGTCCCCGGGGTGCTCCGGGAAAGGCTCAGTCCCTTGTCCTGTGCACTGGGGCCGGGCAGGGACCCTCAGCAAGCGACTGACCCCAGCACTGGGTCCTGCGGCGGGACGAGGGGGCACCCAAAGCTGGGTGCTCCCAGGGCTGAGGGGGCTCCTGAGCAGGCAGAGCAAAGCCCCGGGGGTTTTGGGGGGCACCTGCGGGTCCCAGCTCTGCCACCCCTCGCGAGCCCACCCAGGGAGCTGCTGAGGGCATCCATGCCCCGCGGGGCTGCCACCGGACTGGCGTCAGGACCGAGGGGTGGCACTGGGTCCCCAAGCCAGCAGAGGATGGGGGGACATGGGCTGATGGGGGGCTGTCGGGGAGGAACTGTGGGTGGAGAGGGCACCCCAGGTCTGGCCCCGGTGAGCCCCAGGCAGCCAAACCAGGTGTGACCCTGGGCTGAAGCAGACCCGGGGGGATGACGGGCACAGCCAGGGCTGTCCCCAGCCCAACGGGACCCGCAGAGACGCACCAGCCAGCTGCCAGCCCACGGCGGTGGCAGGGGACCCCGGCACGCTGCCGGGGGGGAGGCAGGCATGGCGTGCACAGCACCCCTTCCCTTCGGCGTTTCTCTGGTGAAACAGCTGGTGACTTTTTTGCGAGCAGAGCGGGTAACAATTCCTGAGCTGCAAAAACATGCAAGAAGCAGCCCCCGCGCGCGGGGTCCCCCAGCCGGGCCCATGCTGCTGCTGCGTACAGGAGCACATGGTCATGCAACCGGCACCACCTCTGGGGAGCATCCGTGGCGGAGTATTTGCATTTGCATCATGAACGCACCGATGACAACTAACTTCAGCAGCTTCTGGCAGCAGCTTTCGTTTGGGATAATCTCAGGGTTCGTGCTCGGAGCTGGCGTGCCTTTGCGCCCGGTGTTTCTGGGATGTGGGGGTCTTTGGCACAGCTGGGGCTCGGGGCTGCGCAGTGACGGGTTTGGTGGGGGTGAGACCCGCCGAGGCGATCGCAAGGCAGGGAGGAGGCAGTGAACTGGGGAAGGGGGAGATGTTCGGCAAGGGGCACGGTGCCCCGGCCAGGGAAAAGCCTTCCCTTCGCATGCAGCATTTATTCAACACTTCTTAAACTGCCACGTCCACCTGTGCCGGATCCAGCCTCGCTAATGGGTTTAGCGAACTGCATTTAACTGGCCACCTGAGCTAATCCCAAATCCCAAGATTAGGAAGAGCCTCAACTGCAGCTCAAGATCAACATGTCCTGGAGGGTCAGTGCTGAGAGTTATCACTTTAATTGGCTTAAGAGCCTTCGTGGTGCAGCAGATCAGGAGAGCGCGGCTGACACCAGCGGGAGCGAAGCCCCCGGCCGCAGCCCGGCCCCAGCTCAGGCCAGGCTCAGGCAATTGCCCGCAGGGCGCTGGGGCCAAGGCCGGCTGCAGGCAGGCTCAGCGGCGGCGGGCCAGGGAGCTCCTGGCCTCTCCCTCACCCGCTCCCCAGCACGCTAGGCAGGGTTCGCACCCATCCTGCAGCCAGCGTACCCCGAGAGCTGCCAGGGGACGGAGCGGGGTCAGGAGGGGCAGGCGGTGGCTGTGGTGGGGAGGGAAGGGGCAGGAGCCCCTCCAGCACGCTGCGTGCTGCACTGTGAAACCAAGCCAGACAGCCCGGGAGCAGCCCAGGAAAGGCAGCAGACGAACGCACGCATGCAGACAACAAGAGGGAGTGGAGGAGCCTCTGGACTACGGGAGGGGAAACGGGAGGGAAACCGGAGCCGGGAGCGCTGCCTGCCCGGTGCACTGTTCCGGGAATTGGCCATTGTCTCTGCTCCCCTCCCAGCACCAGCCTCCCCGGGAAGCAGCTGGGTGCCAGAGCCACGGCTCTTCCCCGGCGCCCGAGGATGGAGCTCAGCGGAGCTGGGAGGGAGCGGTGCTGGCTCCACGGCACAGGGGAGGAAGGTGCCAATAAACCATCAGCTCGGGCTTCTGGAGGGTCTGCAGAGACACAGGCAAAGGGCCTCGAGCCCGCTCCAGTCTGCCCAGCTGCCGCTCGCCCTGCTGCACAGCCTGCCTTTCCCAGGCAGCAGAAATGCAGCCCCGGCGGGGAAGCCACCAGGTCGTCCCGACCGGCACCTCCTCACCCGCGACCCCGCGGACTACGGCGAGCTCCGAGCAGGAGGATCCAAGCCCGAGGCGTTTGGGGCCTGGCAGAAGCACTCCGTGCCCCCCGGGACCCGGCTGCCGTGGCCAGGCAGGCCCCCCGGCAGGCCCAGCACCCCCGGCCCCGGGGACGGCAGGGCCGTGGCGCCCCGCCGGGCCCCCGGCG